GCATTTTCTATTGTTTTGCCAGAATTTTTCTTATTCATTTGTAAGATTTATTAATATTTAATGGGTCCTACATTAAATTATGTATTACAAATACCTTCTTCCTCTGTAGGGCTTACCTTTTTATTTTCTAAACAGTGTCTTTTGGAAAAAAGAAATTCTTAATTTTAATGTAGTCTAATTAAACCATATTTTCCTTTAAACTTGATGGGTTTTGTTTCCTGTTTAAAAAAGTCTTTCCTAACCCAAGGTCATGAAGATACTCTTTTGTCCTTTTCTTTGAACATTTTAGTTTTATCTTTCAAAATCAGATTGACAATAAGGTTAAAATTATTAGTGTGTGTGTGTGTTATCAGAGGTCAAGCTTCATGTATTCCCACATGGATTTTCAATGTTGTAGCATCATTTACTGAAAATATTATAATTTATTTATGGTACTACAGTGTCCTATTTCTCATAAATAAATGGGTGTATATGTATACATATGTTTCTTGACTATTGTCTTTCCTAGTCACCTTGTTTGTGTAGGGGAGATACACACACACACACACACACACTCACACACTTTCACTATCCTTTCTTAATTATTATAGCTTTATAATAAATCTGGATATATGGTAAAGTAAGTCATCCTATTATACTAGTCATCTTCCAGATTATCCGTGCTATTCTTGAGCCCTTGAACAGTCATATAAGTTTTATGATCATCTTGTCAATTATAACCCACAAAAAACGCTGAAGATTTTTATTAGAATTGCATTTAAGAACAATATGAAAAAAATTAACATCTCATAATAGTGCATCTTTTAATTCATGACCATTGTATATCTCTCCATTCACTGATATTTTTCCGAGTTTTTCCCCAAAATGGTTGTAGTTTTCTGCATAGAGCTATTGAAAAATATGTTGTTAGATCTGTCTGAAAGTATGAGTGGTATTTTGATGCTATTATAAATTATACATGTATGTATGCATATATATGTATGTATATGTCTTTGTTTTGGAGGGTTTCTATGCTCAAATATCAAGATTTAATCTAAACCTAGAATAATTAAAATGTGTTTGAAATTAGTAGTTAACACAGGTTTGAAAATCAGACCAATGGAACAAAGTAAAGTGTCTAGAAATAGACTTACGCATATATGGTCAATTAAATTATGACAAACGCTCATAGCAATTAAAAGTGAAAATAATTGTCTTTCAGTGGTGCTGGGTCAATTAGATACATATATGGAAAAATATGTAATATTGGCCCCTAATTGAAACAACCTTTTCAGGATGAATCATAGATTTAAGTATGAAAGCTAAAGAACAAACGTGGTATAGCTTCATGATCTTGGGTTAGGTTAGGTACAGACTTTTTAAACAAGCCACAAAAATCCTTAATTATTTATTTTATATAGTTACTGATAGTATTTGCGTTTCTATCTACATTTTGGTATTTGTTTTCTTTGTTTCAAATGTAGTACGCTCTGTTTTCTCTCTTTCATGGCTTATTTTGGATAAGGGACTTTTAATATTATTCCAATTTCCTTGTCAAAACTTGATAGTTAAATATTCTTTTACTATTCTTTTATTTGTTACTCTAGATACTAAAACAGTTATTCTGGTCATGTTGGTGTCTAATGTAAATTACTACTTTTACCTCTTTGCTGACATTTCTTGGAATGGAAAATATTTTGATTCCAATTAATTCCACCTACATACTATATCATGTATTAACTTTATATGTATTTTAAGTCCCATAGCTGATTATCATTATTGGTCTGCAAAGTTAGTATTAATTTCAATTTACCTGCATATATACATTCTTTCTTGTTCTTCATTCTTTCCATTATTTTTATGCTTTTGTCTGGCATTATTTTCTTTATGCTGAAGAATTAACTTTAGTATTTTTTTATTTTATTTTTCAATTAAATTTTACATTCAATATTATTTTATATTAGTTCCAGGTGTATAACATAGTCGTTAGATAATCATATACTTTACAAAGTGTTCCTTTAGCATCTTTTAATAGAAATCAGATTTTATGACTCATCTCAGTTTTTGTTCATCTGAAAAATATCTTCATTCTACCTTCACATTGGATTTCCCCAGCACTTCAAAAATGTCATTCCATTTTCCTTAAAGTTACTTTAAAATTTTTCTTTTTGTTTTTAGATTTCAGTCATTTGAATATGATACCTGAACATGACTCTTCTTTGTATATGTCCTCTTTGGAGTATGGTGATTCTCTTGTATCTATCTGTTTTATAGGCCAATATCTTTTATCAGTTTTGGAAAATTCTCAGACATTATCTCTTCAAAATGATTCTGGCTCATTATCTTCCTCTTTCCCTTCTCAGACTCCAGTTATATCTACATTAGCCTTTTTTTTAACCATTTTCTGCTTGAGTCTTATAATTCTTTTCTCTATTTTCTATCTATTTCCTCATATATTACAAATGGCATTATTTTTTACTGTCATTTCTTCCAGTTAACTGATCCTCTATTTATCTGGGTTCAATTTCCCGGAAATCCATTGAAGTTCTTACTATCAGTTATTTTCTCTTTCTTTCTGCAATTTCCATTTGATTCCTGATACTTATTACTGCTGTAGGGTAAATTTTCTATCTTGCCCCATACTCACCAACATATTAGTCATACTTCAGAAAACTGTTCTTTCACAGATCAGTCATCTTTCACAAAATTTGTTCTTTTCTGTTGCTTCCGCCCTTGATCCTATTTCTTGATGTAGCCATAATTTTTTTCCAAAAAATAGATGCCCAACATTTTACATAAAAATAGATAATGTCTCTGATTCATGTTATTTTCCTATAACAAGGATTTTTTTTTAGCTTCTGACAGGCATTTAGGGTAGGGGGAAAAAATCACTCTATACTATTCAGATGTAGAAATAACTTCCCATTGGATTTCAGGGTTTAGAGAGCCTGGCCTAATTCTGGTTTGCCTGTACCCCTAGGGTAGAGGTTTCTAGGAATCTCAAGAACCTAACCTGGTCTTGTACTGTTTACCGGGGCTCTCCTCCTTGACAGTATCAGAACTCAAATTTTTACTTCCTGAAAATGTAGCATCTCTAAAATCTAAACTTACCTTCTAAATCCTCTACATTGACTACATTCTGTTTTGCCTGTGTCACCTAGACATTGTCAAATAACTAAAGGAGGAAAAAGGCACAGAATACTGTGCTACTCCTCCGTGCTCCCCTTCTCTCTGGAATGTGACCTCATCATCCTAGCTGCCTTGGTAGGCCCCGAAACCAGCAGTTACCTTCCCAGCCTTGTGAGTCCAGAATTGTCTGGCCAACACTTTCTGTTTGGACTTCCACAGAGAGTCTGAAATCTGACCTCTCATACAGTGTGATGTATGAACTGGCACAGTTCTTGAGGGAAATAGAGCTCAAAATGTTGGACTCACTGCTATGAAACTCCCATCTTTCAAGAAAATAGTTTGGGCTTTTCAAGTCCTCTTGATGGTTCTCTCATGCTTGTCTTCCTCCTTTTGTCTGTCTCTCTGACTCTTTCATGCTCATTCTCCCTCTTGCTCTATTAGTACCTGTTTGGTTTGCTGCAAGCTAAACTGTCATAGCCTCAGGCAGAAGTCCCCAAAGGTTTTATTTCTGTGAAACCAAACAACTCCAATTGGCCTAAACTGGCCTCTATCTTCTAGTTCCAGCTGAAGAGTTTGGGGGGAACCTTAGTATTTAGAAAATTGGGTATGGTTGAAAGGCACTTGTTAAGGAAATAACAGAAATATCCAGTTAGAGCACTGGTTCTCTAAGTGGTCCTTGGACCAGAAACACCAGCATTGCCTGAGTCAGAGTTTCAAACTCATTCCACAGTTTGTTTGTTTTTTCCATAGGAATTAAAATACTAATAATTTTGATCAAACTTAACACTATAATTCTAATTACTCCATCTTTTCCCCTTCAAGTCACACTCCAGAGCTTCTCAGACTACTCAATTCCCCTTGACTTTACTCTATTGTTTTCCCTTGAAGCACAATGTATAACTTATTACCTTGTTAAAAAATGCATATTTTGGGGCCTCATCCCAACCTAGTGAATCAGAGTCTCTGGAGATGGGGCCCAGGGAATTGTTTTAAGATGTTCCCCTGGTGATTCTTATGCATGTTAAAGACCAAAAGCCACTGGCCTCTCAGAAGAGAAAGCTGGATATCACTGTTGTAAATCTTAATCCTAGTGTCGTCATTAATTTCTAAAATCTCTTTGTATTTACAGGCCCAGCATAGAGATGGTCATATTTTAGGTACTCAGAAAACATGGGGAAAGTAGGACTGTCTGATTTAATAACTGAGATCATTTAATGAAAGTGTGTATCCTTTAGAGACCATCTTCCTCATTTATAAGATGACAAAAATGCCTGTGTATAGTCTAAAACACATAGTATAAATCTCATTTATCTGTCATCTCAATACTTAGAAATTTCAGGTAATCACAATTCAGCAATAAAAAGATGATGCTCATGATATCTCTGAAGTCCTACAAAAATACAAACTCTCAATTGTCAAAGTAAGTATGTTCACTCTTATCGAGATTGGCCTCTGGTATGACCCAACAGGTTGCTTTTGGAAAAGAAAAGCCAAGACTTCAGGTTGAGAGAGGAAGATGGCATTGGTATTTTTTTAGGTTGGTTGAGTATGTGTATATGCTAAATTATTTTCAAAGAACTATTAATGTATTCTGGGAAAACATTTTCCTAAAAGTGCCAATAAGGCAAGGTTAAATCCAAAAATAATCCTGAAGAAGTGAGATAGGAAGGGAAGAGCACTTGCAGTGAAATAAAAATTATTGAAAAATTGTATCAGAGAAGGTGACGTGATAACAACAAAAACAAGAAACCAAAAGTAGAAAATACAAATTTAAATAAACAAGTTAAAAAATATGTCAACAAAACCCAAAAGATATATACACAAAACCATGATTTCTTAGGAAAAAAATCACTGGCTCTAGAAGGTAGAGGAGAGATGGGAATCAGTCCTACCTCTTCCAATTGCACCATGAGAGTAACATTGTGCCCTTGTTCCGCTGTCAACTTTCCATCAGCAGTGACGATCCGGAGTCCCCGCGGGGCCTTCCCCGGACACTTCTGTGGTTTGGCAGTATACTGTTCTCTCACTCCATCAGTGCAGTTATTGGAAACCACCTTCCTATACCTAAATGGAGAAAAGGTCAGGTTGTAATCAAGCTCATTATAATTCAGATGGCTCCCAATTTTTTAAGCTAAACCTACTGCCTAGTCTTGACAGCTATCAATAACTACATTTCATGTTGCTCTGAAGATGACAGCCAATTCATATAAAGCACCCAACAGAAAAACAAATCCTCATAATTACATGGTGTCCCTAATACTAGTACTTTAGTATACTGCTTTCATTCACTTAGTCAATCAATGAATTGTTTCACTTCAGAGCTGTGGGAAACGCACAGCAGTAGAAGACATGGTCCTTACCCTTGTTAAGTGTAATAGCTAGTTGAAGAAATCTATGTGGATAATCTAGGATATACTTCAAGGGCTATATAATTAAGGGTTAGAATGAGTAGTTACATATTGCAAAGGAATTTGCAATTCAGAGAAATATTAGATTATTATGGGGTGGCATGGCTTAACATTACATCTCATAGAGCATGCTCTAGTAATGGTGTAGTGCAAAAAGTTGGCTAAATTTCATAGTTTCCACCCAATATTTCATGAGGGGTTATACTGTCTAAAACCAGTGAAACCTTATGTTAAGGAGACTTCAGTCTGCAAGTTGAATGAATCCTACCTATCCTTTTGTTTATTTCTTCTTGTTTTAGCTTTAGTTAAAAAAATGAATTATCCTACAAATTTAACCTATACAATTGATCAGATTCATAATAAATTAAATCTGCGGTTTTACAATGACCAATCTTTAAGGCTTTGAAGGTTCCATGTTACCTACTCATCGTCTTTTTGTGTTTGGTCCACAGTAACTAATTTATGGATTCATATATTTGATTTCTCAAGACTCTTCTCTATAATTAGTGGTAGAGTTCAAACTGGAAGCAAAGCTCAAGTTCTTTCCATTTTTCTAGAACAAGGGCTGGCAGAGTTTAAAAAAAAATGTATTTTATTTATTTATTTTCAGAGAAGGGGAAGGGAAGGAGAAAGAGAGAGAGAGAAGCATCAATGTGTGGTTGCCTCTTGCATGCTCCTCACTGGGCACCTGGCCTGCAATCCAGGCATGTGCCCTGACTGGGACTAGAACCAGTGACGCTTTGTTTTGTGGGGCAGCACTTAATCCACTGAGCCACACCAGCCAGGATGCAAGCTTCTTAGATAAGGGACCAGATAGCAAATAGTTTAGCCGTGTGGTCTATGTGGTCTTTGTGGCAAGGGTTGAAAGCTGGTTGTTGAGTGAAAGCGGACATAGACAATGTGCAAAGAATTAATGTAGCTGCATTCCAATAAAAGTTTATTTACAAAAAATGGCAGTGCCCTAGATTTGGCTTGCAGGATGCTGTTTTCCAACCCCTTCAAATCTAGCCAAGGTCCTCTCTCCTCTGTTCCTGAGTCTCAGAATTGCCTACCTCAATGCATGGTTGAGAAAGTCAAATTAAATACTGTCTGAGAAAGTGCTTTGAACACTATGAATCATTGCAAGGTCAGTTTTTAATCTTTAACTCACCTTGTAGGGTAGTTGTATTGATTAAATGGATTAGTGTACATGGAGCACTTAAAACCACTCTGATAATTAGCAAGCACTTATGAAATGTTACCAATTATTTTTATTTAATACTATTATTATTTCTCCTACCTGTTAACAACTTTCATGTCTTCCAAATGTCCTTAGGATCAGTCACAAATCCAATTACCTTGTGCAGAAAGCCCTCCACAAGCTAACTTTATTCTGCTTTTCTAGATTCTTTTTCTCCAGTAAGTTCATTCAGCTCTAGCCACACTTCTCTTTCCAATCCTCTTGAAAGAATTTCTTTTCTTTTGCTCTTTCTGCCTCCATGTCCTCCTGTACGCTCCACAGCTGCCCATGCTTTCAGTTACAGCTTATCACCTGTCTTTCCCTGACTGTGGTAGTAAAATAGTAAGAAGTGTACAGAGTTCGAGTGTGTCTTAGTTTAGTCATTGTGCTAGGTTCTTACCAAGAACTCACCAAGTTCTCATTCACCTTCAAAACATCCCTAATAAGGAAGGCATTCTTATTCTTGATGTACATATGCATATATTAAGATTTTTAAAAAGTTAACTAGTTCTCTCAAGATTACACAGTCAGGACCCTAGACAGTTTATCTCTAGAACACAGCTGCATTTTACCACTACACTGTGTTGAATGGAGAAATATCATCCTTCCTCTAGACTCTTAAAGAAATCCTTATGATTGACTTGATAGGAATCATATGTGCCTTGTAGGAGTGCCTTCCTGTGTATGACTGTATACTTTAAGCACCTTGAGGGCAACCTTGAGCCCTGGACATGCAAGACTGATAACCATAAGGTCCACACTGAGGTGGCTGTACCATTTTAAAAGTTGAACTATCTGCACAGCAGTTGGTTATTACCACTGCCCCATTCCCTTCAAGCAACTCACCCTCCAACCCAGCAATGCTGATCCCTGTCTTTGGAATCCCTGCTTCTCCTTACAATCCAGCAACCAAAGGGTTAACACCCCGCACAAGCAGGTGGCCTCCAAACCCCTTCTCCTGCACTAAGATTCTGATTGGGCATTGTTATATCTGAGCATTTCTAACATCACCTCTTTGGATATTTTTAAAAGTCCATTGGGTGTGCTTATCAGTATATGCTGATTAAAACAGAAAATAATGGCAGGTGGGGCAAAAAAGGAAAAAGAAAGCCACTGACATTGGAGAGTGGTGGCATTCTGGTACTGGCAATGGCAGCAAGAAAATGACTGTTAAGGTCACGCAATAACTATGGCATCTCAGTGCATTTAACTGTGCATCAGAAACTCCCTGTATGTTTCTGAGGTAAGGCACCAGGCCAAAAAAAAAAAAAAATGGAGATTCTGATTTTTAATCCCTTAGCACGCAAGCACGCCTGTGCCTCTGTCTTGGGGAGCAGCTATAGAGTCAGGGGCTCACCATCACCGTTGTCAGCATCAGCTAGGGAACATGCCTTTTGTTTGGCTGGGCTCTGACCAGCCATTGCCTCCAGCTTTCCTGAATCCTGCAGCAACAGGAGTTCTGCTTAAATCCAGAGCACGGGTCCCTCCCCCTGGGGCTCTGCCACAGAGAGCTTCTTGGTAATTTTTTTTAAATGCTCATTAAAAACCATTCTGAAACCATTTTATTTCCTGGATGAAAACCACATCGCATTAGCCCTACCAGACCTGTCCCTTAAATTTAGAAGAAAATCATCCAGAAATACAGAGTTAATTTATTCAAGTAAGTACACACCTGCTTTTTGCATTACAGAATGCTCCTATTTTCATACCAGAAGCTGTCCCTGGGTCTGAGTTACATAAATGAATAATGCATTTAATATGTTATTAAATGGGGCTGCTGCCTCCACAATAACAAGGCAACTTATGATTATGTTGGACTTAAGCTCTGCATATTACTGGGATGCATTTAGTGGGTAGAGCATTCTTCAATCTACCAAGAAGGAATGTGATCTGTAATGGCAAGGGAGTCTTTGCACAATTACTGAAAAGAAAACATACTGCAAATATGCCTCTGATACTATCAACCACTCATCAGTAGATAGTGTCTTCTTACTTCAGTAACCCTGATTTCAACTATTCTCTTCCTTCCTGTCTTGATACTCCTCTCTCACTTTTTCATTTTTACTTCTATCTTCTTTGATTTTGCTTCTGTATTGCCTGCCAGTCTTAAAAAAGATAAAGGCCATAGTTTGTTTTGTTTTTTTTTTGTGCAAGCAAAACTGTTATTTTACTACTTAGGAGTTTTTTTAATCTTGTGATTTTGAGTATAATACAGATGTTTATGACTATGCAGTCTACGTTAAGGTGACAGCATAGTCTAGCTCAGCGGATCAAAACCCTATCTGTTCTGTAGGATCATTAGGAGCCATTTTCAAAAGAAATGGATGTCAAGACCCTACCACCAGGAATTATGATTTAATTGAGAATTCTGGGCAATACTGTGTTTTGTTTCTGCTTTTGTTTTAAGTTCCCCTGGTGATTCTAGTGTGCATACAGGGTCACAGACCACTGCCCTGGTGGTTAACACCAATGTTGGATCAAATTACCCAGGTTTAAATTCAGGCTCTTATATACTACATGAACTCGGGCAATTTACCCAACCTCTCTCTGATATTTGGGTTTTCTGTCCGTAAAATAGGGGAAATTACAGGATCCTTTCATAAAGCTCCTGGGAGGATTAAATGTGATAATGATTTAGAAGGGCTTAAAATAGAGTCTAGCACATTGTAAGAACTTAACAGATATTAAAATATCAAAAGTTAGCAAACGTAATCATATTTAAATAATTAAACATTAACTTGTTATTATCCAGGAAATTCTGTGAAAATAAAAGCTATATACTCTTATTGCCAAGATCATCTTAAGATCAAATCTGTCCATGTCAATTACTTTTTTAAAAATCATTCAAAATGTACTGTGGGCTAATTCATAAAGGGCACGGTTCAGGTTTCAAGCAGAGGTCCATGATCGGGCCTTAGTGTGTTTTTCTAGCTTCAGCTCTTTCCACTGTCCAACAGAATTCCCGAGCTCAGGCACACGGGAGTCTACAAGCCTTCTTCTGCCTGTGCTGCTCATTCTACCTGGGATGCTTTTCCCTCCTGCCAAGCTCCCATAGAGTCTTTAAAAATCTCCTTAGAAATCATGTTTTTCTGTAAAGTTTTCTCTTCCCTTTTTTCACAGTAGTTACCACATGTGACAACCATGGTAGAGCTGGATGAAACTCTAGGTCTCCTAGTAACCAAGGTCAGTCTTACTGACACTGAGCTGTGGAGTCACTAATTTGAGCTCATAAAACAGTGTGGTGATTGCTGGAGGAGAGGGGAAAAGGGGACTAAACGGAAGAGGGAAAAACATGATTAAATTAAAAAAGAATTTATAGTTTAACATTTTAGATTGTACTACATGTCTTTGTTTTCAAGGAAAAACAGCTTTGTTATAGTGACATCTGACTTAATGAAACAAGAAATGGAACAAGCCTTGGGGAGATAGAAGGCGGC